ATTGTCTTAAGGACGAATCATGACTAATCATGGCATTTAGGTTTATTTTTAATTTATTCTTGTTTGCTTGAATGTTTGCTTGAATATTTTCATGAATGTTTGATATGGATTTTGGTGTTTGAATTTATAACATGAAAGTCTTATTTAAGATTTTGTAAGTTTATAAATTCTGGTGTATATGATGAAAGATGAGATGAGTACACTATGTGGTGTATAATAGATGCCATACTATACTTAAAGACAAACGTTATTTTGTGAATCTCAAAGTGCCAATATAAATACTATTGCAGACGTGGCCAACCTTATTAAGGGCCATGGCCAAGTTTATGTTATGATGCCTAAAGGCACTCATCTTGAGATTAAATATGCCTTATATTCCCCTAGCTCTAGACGGAGCCTATTGAGTTTCAAGGACATAAGGTTGAATGATTTACACCTTGAAACATGGGAAGAAAGAATGAAAGATTTCATTAACATATTTTTGATCACCAATGGCATTAAGAGAGTCTTAGAGACTATACCTGCAATAGCTACTGATCTAGACTATGCCAGAGATCAGTATGATAAGAGGCAATGAGATATGGTAACATGATAGGTATACCCATGAAATTTAACACTTAATAGCATGACATGATTAGCCATCCTAGTCCTAACTTGATGCAAAGAAGATATTGCAAAAGGCACATAGAGTTTTCCCGATATAATCTCACGTTGTGTAACATGTACACAAGTGAAACTCATTAAGGCTTAATTGTCCCAAGTAAATCACAAAATTTATAGTATGTTCATGAGGGGGAGAAAGGACAAAACCCGTGGTCCATGTACATACTACATATTTAGAGAACTATGGTCTATGACCATATCCTAGACGACTTGGCTGAACCCTTTGGTGGTTCACATAATCCATGACCAGCCTAAGACTTGGGGACACATGAATTTACATGTATAAGATTGATAATCATCAGGCCATATAAGTGAGCATAGATATTCCTATCTCAGATTGAATAAGGGTCATGTACCAGACATAACAATCTTAAGAGATATTGGATAAACCACCACATACAAATGTGCCATGTAAGATTGAGGATTGGGAATATATGTTGGATATGAATGTCTTTTTCCCACAAGTTTTAAGAGACCTTGAGCCAAACATGGGTGATCAAATTGTGGCCAAGTACACGGATTGCATGAGGCAATGAATCCGACTATCCAACATTAGATGGAGAAAGTAATAAGCTGGATATAGTAACGAATGATAAAGAGAAATAGAATGGTATTGACCATCAGTGTCTTGGCAAGATCATCGGACCAGAGAAAAGATTTAAGACGTCCATATGATATCAAAGAAATGATACATAGCTAGTAAAGCTAGCAGCCAGACACATTGACCCGAACAGATTACAAGAGATTAAAAAGACCTAGGTATCATATGGCATATAAGAAAGGTGGTCAAGAGTTTTGGTAATGACCAAACCGTGGATATAGTCCAAAGAGAGACAAGGAAGAAGTCCTTGATCTAAAAGTGCCATATTTCGGTATCTTAAGAGTTTTGGTGTATCTAGCAAGCCATACTAGTCCTAGATACATGTTTGCCATCTAAAGTTACCAGGAAGGACTTAGACATTGTCCATGATTGTTTTATGGCGTGGACATACCTTGGCCAAAGGTTCATGCCGGCCATGACCATGCCCGGTTCCAAATCCGACTTAATCTCTTATGAGAAAATAGTGACAAACAATCTCAGGTCATGGTATGGACTTGAGATGCTATCTATCAGCACGCATATTTAATATGCATATTTTAAGGTATATCTGATGATAAGAAGGTCATAAGGAACCCATAGTAATGTATAGAGACATTGCTATATCGCAGGACATCGACCATGTCGCTGCAGCAACATCGGGCAGCAATATATTAGCCACTCATTGGCAAGTTATGAACGTGTGTGGACAAGGTCCATAAGTAGACTTGTTCATGTTCCTTATACTCCAGCACGTGGTAAAGTCCATGGCAAGAAAGGTCATGAGACATCATCAAAGAAAAGTATAGACTGCGATGTTTTGATTCATGTATGGGACTGCAATGCAAGTATGAGCCACTATGTGTTTATCAGTGGATAAACAAGAACCATAATGACCAATAGAATGACCAGAAGTATGTCTGATCGTGGCATAAAGTGTATAGCATTTCAAAAGGAATGAAAGATTGACCATAGAGTTCATGAATGTGGTTTGGTCGAGACACATCCGACCAGCACCTAGTACGGTCAAGACAAAGAAGGCATGTTCGTATGAACCAAGGTACCCACGTGAAAGACAAGTTTTTTGGGTCTATGACTCAATATATATTGAGGTGTCCACGGAATGGCTAAGCCATATAACTTGAGGATCTGTGGGACATGAGTGGACCTACGAAGTAATGACTGATCAAAGAAGGGAGGTCCATCCGAGTACTGGTCGAGTACCATCCATCCGACCAGGACATAGAGTGGTTAGTTGCACGACTAAACCAAGTTCTAATGGAGTTCCAGAAGACATAGAAGACGTCCAGACCAAAGTAGTACTCACACATGAGTTTTTCCAGAAGATATCAGAAGTTCAAGTTCGGTCCAGCTGCAACCCAGCCGACCAGTTTACCAGATCTCTACAGACCAGATTGGAATGCATCAGACATTTCAGTGATGCATTCATCAGGGGAAGTATCATGTGTTGTACTCTTTTTCCTTGTCTAAGGTTTCCATTTTTCCCACCTTGGGTTTTTGTTTTACTAGAGAAGGTTTTAACGAGGCAACATTAAGCATGGTACAAGCCCATATGGTTTGGCCATCCAAGGGGGAGTGTTATAAAGAATTATGTAGATGGGCCATAACCATATACCAAGACCAAGAAGATGGAGGCCCAATCATGACAAGTATGGTCGTGACCCATTGGGCATATAGGCGGCCAAGACTTTCCATTTAGTGTTGTCTAGGTTTTGTATGTTTTCCATTTATCTCTTCTTGTAAGTCCTTATATAAAGGAACCTATATTCATCAGTAATAATATACACAGAGAATTCCCCATTACTTCTCTCATTCTCCTCTTTCTTTACAACATCAACTTAATTATCACATTATAGGTAATATATTTTTAACATTTATTGGAAACTTGGTTATTTGAAAAAAAATTCCCTTCTTTAAAAGATATAAACTGATTAATTTGCATTTACTTTTACAATTATTTATTTAAATGCAAATTTTTGGGTAAAGAAAATTTTACCCTTTTACAATTTTGAGTTTTTAAGAAAGAGATTTGAATACTAGGTAAGTAGAATTGGTTTAACTACAACAATTAAGAAAAAAAATTGTTCAGAGTAAACTTTAAACAGAAAATAACTAGAAAAGTGTATATTTATTATTTTTAATATGTTTGAAACATCAAAAAAATCTTATATTTGAGAATGGTTGGAGTTTTTTTTACCCTTAACTAAAGGGGTAAACGATCTATTTCCATACTTGAGTCGGGTTACATACAATCTAATTTTAAATTTACCAAAGTTTGATTCAGACGTTGAGTCGGGTTTGTATTTGGATCTCAGGTTGGGTTGGATTTTAAATTCGATCTAAAAAACATACTAATTTCGTATCGGTTTACTTTCAAACCAAGTCAAACCTTCATTTATGGGGATATGAGTTTCCATCTTTCTGATTGCTGAAAAATATATTTTTATACTCTTAATATGTGGAATTAGGAGGATGTGAAAAGATTATATACATTTTATATAATAAAGTAGAGATCTCTCCCTTTTTTTGTTGCCACATCAGCAGAGAGCATGGGGCAAAAAAGACACGTCAGTAATTAACCATTGAAATCAAACCAAAAATATAAAGTTCTCGCGTATTGGTTTGTAGTTCACTTATTATACCGATTTTCTTAATTTAATTATTATGTTGGGCTGAGCGTATTAACGATATAAGTGAAAATCCCACTGAAGATTGAGTATACAGCTAATTTGCTCAACAACAAACCACCAGAAAACTGCCACAAATTCGACCTAGACACCCGCTGCCGAAAATGTTTCCACCATATGCAGATGCAGAAGTTCATGGAAATCATCCCATTCGCTTAGTTCCTATTAAAATATTTATTTACTTTTAAAACCTATTTCTAAGCTGCTTATTATGTTTACTTTTGTTTTTTTTCTCTCTCTTTTTATTGCTTCCTTTACAAATGAACCAATTTAAGATTTTAAAATAAAAAATTTGTCAACAAAACTTCCCCAGCTATACACAACCTAACTCAACAACCTTCACACCTACTCATCTCTACAAAAATACATTCTCTCTATCTTACTACAAATCAATCAAAAATAAATAAAAAACAAAGGAAAAATCTAAAAATTACCATGCGGAAAAATACAAAAAAAATATGCATCCAGTTTAATCCGGTACATCGGTTTGATACTTTGATTTAAGCAATCTTATCACAATGATAACCAATACAAAGTTAACCACCTTTCTCTCAAATTTCTGTCAAAATTAACAACATTTCTCGGTTCAATGTCTATAATCCTTACAAACCTTATAAACTTTATCAAACTTCTTACAAATCCGTTTCAAATAACTTATCTAATTAGGCCCACCAAGAACTTTACGAGATTAAACCTAACAACTTACGAAGTCAAAGACACATACTTCCCATACGCCATCATATCTCTTTCACACAACATTTTAAAATAATTCTAATTAGACGCTCCAAGTAACGTATCAATAAATGCAGTTATGATCAAATATTGCATATTCAAAACCATAACTCCAAAACTATTCGTCTTCTAAAACCCTCAAAAACTTTCTATATAACAAAGGCACCTACATAGAAAGCAATCATCCTAAACCAAAATCACTGACTCATAATGTCAAGACGAAGAGACCTCTCGCATCAATCGAAATCCTCCCAAACGATATCCAAACCGAAATCATTTCACGGGCTGCTAAAATCTCAATAAAAGGCCTACGCAACGTCATGCTATCAAGCCCTACTCTAGCCGAAGCTGCCGCAGATCCTCAGGTCTACAAGAACATCAATCTCCACATCCTAACAGTCTATCCTCTCATACCACTTTGCAGCTACAAAGAACTTATGGATCGCTGCCTTGCCGCCGGAAACTTTCAGGCTCACTACATACGTGGGATACAAGAATATTTCCATAACAACGACATCGGTGTAGGATTTCCTCATTTAAAAATCGCTGCAGAAGGTTTGTACGAAAAAACCATTTACCTTTATGGTATAATAATGTTGTGTAGTGGAGAACAAGAGATCAAAAAACGATGCTGGATTCACTGGGATGGAGAGACAACATGAAACACGGCAACACTTGCTGGAAAAACATCAAAAAATCACTCCATGGAGTAAGAGTCACAACCCTAGACGCTACTATGAACGCCTACACAGAAGCAAGGGAACCTATCACATGTCAAGGAGACGAGATGCTACTTCGCTGTGAGAGCTGCTATTATTACAAGCAGATCTACAAATATACTTTTACTGTTTAGGGAAGTTATCTAGGTCCCTACTAGAGAATAAGGATCAAACTCTACAAGATTTCTATAAGACCGAAACCAAATTAAGAAAAATATATTATAACTATCTGTAAATAATAATAATGCGTTAAAGCATCCGTGGAAAATAATAAAACAATATTAATCATCCATTACGTCAAAAAAAAAATTAAAAAACAGCACTAAATTAAAACGCAGCCCTAATAATTAAACAAAAAAAAGTTTAATACATACTCTCAAATTTCTCAAAACGATTTCTTATAATACCTGGTTTCCAAATTTACATCGAATATCTTTAAACAAATGCTTGACAAAACCTAAACACAAAAAATGAGTTCTTCAATGATAAAAATATAATACAACCCGCGCGTAGCGCGGACGGACCACTAGTATGTTACTATGTTATACTTATTTGAAACTTTTTCTTTTTGAAACTATGTTACTATATTATATTTATGGTGTGGATATAGTTCATTTACCCTAATTAAAATAAGCACAAACATACCAAATCGGGTCTTATTTTGCACTCTGCATTTTTTTTGGGGTAAAATACTTGAAAAATCGTACTATTCACTGCCCATGTGTTTTTATCTCACTGCCTGTTGAGTTTTATTTTTTTAGGACTACTACGAAATAAGTTTTTCGAAAAGGATGTTATTGATGATTGGACAGAGACATCTTTGGTTAGTCTCAGACTATCAGTTCTCCAAAATTAAACATAAACCTTGTTCTTTTGGTGAACGCTGCTGGTTGCGGCAGCAACTGGAAATTGTAGTGCGACGAAAGTTAATTTAACGGCACCGAAAATTAAAATGGATGTTAATAAACTGCTGAAAGTACAAAATATGGGAAGTGGCTGAATCTGAAATATTCCAAGTTCCTTTTACTCCTCGCGATCAGCTGCAGCGTCAAGAAAAGCATGATGGCATTGTTTCATGAGTGTTGTTTGAAGGAAAATGGTCTATTTCAACATGTACCTTACCAGTCGTGTTTTTTTCCTTTCCGAATTTTGTAATAATGCGTATTTAATATTAGACTAAAAAAAATTTTAAAAATACTACATGAACTTTGTGAACCGTGCATTTTCTTTCCTGGATTTTATAATAGTGCATATTTCACACTAAATTAAAGAAAAGTATAAAAATACTACATGAACTCTCAAAATCGTGCCTATATATATAAACCGTCGAATTTGTTAGTCATCAGTTAATTTATGAAAATGACGTCATTTTAGATCAACTTGTTAAAAAATAATTTATTTAAAATATATAAACTTGCAAAATCGTGCTTATATATTAACCATCAAAGATGTTATCAATCCATTAATTTATCAAAACAACGTAATTTTGGCTAAATTATGTAAAATAATAAAAAAATTGGGAGGTTCGCACTTTCACACTTATGGACAAGTAAGATCATAATAACTGTTAGATGAAAGTAACTTTCTTTTATAAATTGCGTAAACATTAACTTATATATAAGTTTTTAATCAAATAATGTTATCAATTTTTTTAAAAAAAATTCATTTATCAAATAAATCTGTAACCATTTATGTTTTAAATTAAAATTTTAAAATAATTATTTTATAAATATAACTTAATTATTATTAATTTAAATATTCACTTTATACTTGTTCATTTGTGTGAAAATTCGAACATCCCATAATTTTTTTATAGAATCTATCTCAAATGACATCGTTTTGATAAATTAAGAGATGACTAACACCTTTGACGATCAATATATATATATATATATAAGCACAATTTTTAAGAATTCACGTAGTATTTTAAACTAATTTTACTAAATTTATAAAAAATGACGTTGTTTTGATAAATTAACGGATGGATAACATCTTTGATGATTAATATATATATAAGCATGATTTTGAAAGTTTATGTAGTATTTTAAATTCTAATTTTAGATATTTTATCTAAAATGACATTGTTTTGATAAATTAACGGATGACTAACAAATTTAAAAATTTATATATACTTTTTGAGAGTTCACATAGTATTTTTATATTTTTTTTAGTTTAGTGTGAAATATTCACTACTATAAAGTTTGGGAATAAAAAGGCACAATGAATAAAATTTATGTAGTATTTTTAAATTTTTGTTTAGTTCAATATGAAATACGCGTTACTACAAAACTCAGGAAAAGAAATGCACGATTGGTAATGTTCATGTTGAAGTAGTCCCTTTTCCCTCTCGACTGCGCTGTGTTTTTCGGTGGTGATAGTTTAAATTTGCAGTCGCTGCCAAAGGAATATGGCTATACTCTCAGTTCTCCAGAAGTAAACATTTATTTGTTTTGTTTTTGGTCTAAAGAAGTAATTGGTCTTAACATTTTAACCAAAAAAAAAAAAAAAAAGTAATTGGTTGTTTGTTGTAAGTTCCAAGTCTCGATAACTCATATCGTTTCTTTTTCTGGACTGAAAACATTTATGGCTTCAAGTATCAACCGTCTATAATTTTAGTCTGCCAAAATCTCGGTTCTTACCAATTTGGACTCCAGAATTTTTTTTTTTTTGGCAGGCAATGTATTTTACGATGCGTCTCTCTATTCAATAGTAGAGAAGAATATAAATGTCCAACCGGAGATCGTTCAGATTACGTCACGTGTCCGAACTCATTAAACAATGAAATCTACTTTAACCCTTTTTGGAAATGTCAGGACTGAAAAGTAACAAAGAATTATTTCATCTCGGCATCTTAACTTTTTTTTTTTTTTTTTTTTTTGTTAAAGAGCATCTTAACTCTAAAAGCAAGGAAACACTTAGCACAAATCATAAACGTCCACGTGTCTCAAACATTGAGAGTGTTAATGTCAACGAGTCCCTTCCCCTCCAGACTCAATATCTAACTCCGTCACCGGCATGCTACTCACCGGCGGAAAATCGTTGGACGATGAAGAAGCGCTTCTCCGTTCTTTGCTGAATATCCGTGTGGAAGATATCACCCTTGACCTAAACGAGTGACTCTGAGTCAACTCGTTCTCCGATTCACTCGCCGCCGGTTTCCCCCTGGAATCATGATGATCGGAAGTCTCAGCTCCTGTAACGGTGTCAGAAATCGAAACCGCGACTTCCTCCGCCGCCAATTTGTCTCCTCCGGGGATAGGTTCGACGAGAGATCGACAGAGAGGACAAGAGGAGTGAGAACGAAACCACATATCAATGCATTCAACATGAAACGCGTGCTTGCAATTGGGCAAAACCCGACCCAGTTCGCTCTCCTCAAACTCCGACAAGCAAACAGAACACTCTGTCGCGGCCAAGGCGGTTGCGGCGGAGAACGTGAAAATAGGAAGAGATTTGAAGACAGAGGGGTCGAGACCGCGAGCGGTGACCACGGAGGTGGAGGAAGGATCGGCGAAGAAGGTCATAGCGGCGGCGGCGCGTCTACTGCGGTTTAAGCGGCGGAGATGGAAGCGGCGAGAGCGGTGGAGATAGCAACGAGAGTAGAGGTGGAGAGAGACCATGAGAATGACGAAGAATAAGATCATGAGTACGGCGGTGAGCATGATTCTGGTGTTAATAGCGAAGCCAGCAGGATCCGAAAAGGATCCGGGAGTGTTAGTCACTGGATTCGGGTCTCTAAAACTCATGACTTCGAATTGAGAGGAGAGAGTTGGGTGAAAGGAAAGAAGCTTTTGTGGTTTTATTCGTAATGGCGAGTGTTAGAGAAAAGAAAGAAGGATGGTTTCACGGAACATCGGAAATTGAAGACGCCAACGTTGACCATTTACTTATTCACGCTTTCTCTTTTGTGTTTGATTGATACATTTCTTTGTTGTTTTATGTAAGATTTTTTTGTGGGTTTTGTGTGTTTTTCAATCTTTGAGAGGGTATGCTGTCCAAATTTTTTTTCTTTAAATGTTTAAAATATGAAAATGATCACAATTCATAATGAATGATGTATTTATAAACTATCTTTCGAACACTTCAAACGACATAAAATAAACATGAGTGTGTAATTTTGTCTATGGTCGATACCATATCCGACACACCCTTATTAAAAGAAATTAGAAACTGGTTTTGTACGAGTCAACAAAACATTAATACTGTTGAGACAGTTAAATTCGCGGTCATAGTATATATAGTCCTCGCCGGTTTTTGTACTCCATTTTAATATCATTGAAAATTTATAAATCTTCAGTTACTTTTCAATCAATTTAGATTTTTAAAAAAATATATCAAAATATAGAATATTTACGCAAAACCATAATTATTTTGATTGACAAAAAGAGGGCTGAGTTCAGCTTAACTATTACGCATTCGAATATCATTATCTTTTTCCTTCTGACCAAAGTAGTAACAAAAATACATCATTCAACAAAAAGTTCAAAAATTCGATGATAAAGGTTGTCAAAATTAAGTTTCTTTTAAGCCTCTAGGTCTATGTTCAGAGCATCTACACTTATTGTTTTCAAACAAATGAGATAAAATCTGTAACGATCTAAAACTGATAATCTTATCTTAAATGAGATTTTTTCAGGAAATTTTTATGTAAGAATGGATGATTTTTAAAAATGTTTAAAACACTTATAATCTTTCAGTCACTAATAAAGAAATTGTTTTATTAATATTATTTATTTTTTTGAATAATTTAGTGTATTCTGACTTCTGTCAAAAATAATTCAGACTAACGGTAAATGTCCGTAATAACCTACCTTATCAGCTGGATTACTCCTCCTTCGAGCATAACAACAAACCAATTTTAAAATTATAGTCGTTAGACCATGGAGGGGAGGGGGAACGTTAGAAAGAACACTAGAGTATGCGGGAATCAAATGTGAAATATATTTTGTAATTTTTTTTTTTTTTTTTTTTGACATCAAACGACTGATCTATTATTCAAGCGACTTGAGGTGGTCTGGGTAGCCAGACCGGAATAGAACAACCAACGTACACAAGCTCTCGATAAAAGGACCTGGTTATCTTAGCTAGAGAACCAGAAACGCAGTTCTGTAATCTAGGAACATAAAAAATCTTGAAATCATGAAAGTAGATCTTCAGTGTCAACAATTTTTCCAGCTCTGTTGAGAAACTAGGCCAAGCATGAGGATTTTTAAGCATCTCGATCATCTCCTTGCAGTCAGTTCCAAAACTCTGACATGGCGAATGTTGAAGCATGTTCTCCATTGCCCACCGCAGTGCTTCCAACTCTGAATGCAACGCCGATTCCACTCGATCAAAATTATGCAGCCCCATTAACTGGCTATTACCAGAATTATCATTCAACACCCATCCACATCCACTGAAGAGATCCGTAGAAGTCCAAGATCCATCCACCATGCAAATGTTGCCCAAACTTAAGGCCTGTTCTTCATTTATTCCGCTCCCAAGGGGGAGCGGTATATCCTTCTCATTTGCTTGGAACCATGCTTGGCATTCACTTTATGCATATCGCGCTACCTCAAAAGGATCCCTATCAATGCCTCTGAATAGCTTATCATTTCTAGCCTTCCAAATGTACCAGATTAGCCAAGGATAAGGATCCGTGTCCAATTCCAGTCCATTATTGCATTCTTCCTCCAGAACAGATAGTCCAAATTCGCGTACGTGCTTGATACTGAAAACAAAGCGGGATTGGTAGGCGTAGATGATAGCGCCCAAGTCTGTAAAGCAGGTGGACATTCAAATATGGCATGAGTGATCGTCTCCTCGGGTTCCCCACAACGAGGACAGTGGTTGTCACATCTCATATGTCTGTAGTTTAAGATGCTCGTAACAGCTACATGTCATGTTATTAATTGCCACATAAGTTGGCAAATCTTTTGGGGAGCCCTGACCTTCCAAGCATGTGCTTGGAGTTTTGTGATACTAGGCTCACATACTTCAGATTCCTCTTCCTTTCTCAAGATATTTCGTGCTACCCAGTATCCAGATTTAACTGTATATTGTGCAGTCCTAGTATAGCTCCAACAATACGTATCCCGGCGATGCGTGGAGCTAATGGCCATACTCTTGATGAGTGGTATATCAGCTGCATCAATATAATCGTGAAGGTGGCTAACTTTCCAAGTCTTTCATGATTGATTAATCAAATTGCTCACTCGCATGTTCGGATGCAGGACCGGGGCCAATGGTGTTGCTGGTCTTGCAGGTATAGTAGGGATCCAAGGATCATCCCAAACTTTAACTTCATAACCCGAGTGGACCTTTTGTCTAATTCCTAATAATAGCAGTTCTGTTCCAGCCGATATACTTGTCCACACATATGAAGGGCTGCTAGCATTGATCTGACGCAAAGGCGTACTCAATCTGTAATACCGGCCTCTCAGGACGCGAGCTACCAGAGAATCCGGGTTTTGTACCAGTCGCCATAGTTGCTTTGCTAGTAGCGCAAGATTGAACTCATGTATCATCTTGAAGCCAATCCCACCTTCTTCTTTGGGTACACATAATTTAGCCCATGTTGACCAGTGTATACCCATTTTTGGCGGATTTGAGCTCCACCAAAACTGTGCAATGGCACTAGCAAAATTCTCACAAATCTCCAATGGGAGAAGAAAGCAAGACATTACATACGTCGGAAGAGCAAGCAGGATTGATTTTATCATAACTTCTTTCCCACCTTTAGATAGCCATCTGCCAGTCCATCCATTCACTCTGCTTCTCAGCTTGTCCTTAAGGAAGGCAAAGAGCTTGCATTTGGATCCGCTGATATCCTCCGGTATACCTAAATATGACCCCGTTCCTCCTTCATTTTGGATCCCAAGTGCGTCTTTGATCTCTTGTCTCACATCCTGGCCGATTCTTTTACCAAAGAGTAAAGAAGACTTCTCAAAATTAATGCATTGTCCTGAAGCTTGTCCATATACCTTAACCACTTTCATTACTTCTTCACATTCACGGGGCTCCGCCTTACAGAAAAACAGACTATCATCAGCAAAGAGAATGTGAGATACCGAGGGACACACACGCGTGATGCGCATCCCCGTTATCTTTCCTTGGTTCTCTGCGTGATTAAGAAGTCTAACGAGCGCTTCCGTGCACAGAATAAAAATGAAAGGGGACAGAGGATCCCCCTGTCGTAGACCTCTCTCCGGAACGATATTTCCTCTTGGCTGTCCATTCATGAGGACCTTGTACTTTACTGATGTAACGCATCTCATGATCATAGTTATCCAGACTTCAGAAAATCCCATTTTCCTCATGGTGGCCTCAATGAAGGGCCATTCCATCCTATCATATGCCTTACTCATATCAGTTTTGATCGCCATCATTTTGTTTCGACCACTCGGTTTTGTTCTTAAAGCGTGGAACAACTCATGAGCTATCAACAAAGGCGGACTGGGTTTCTGAGATCATGTTTGGTAGGAACTTTTTTAATCTCTGGCATAAGACCTTAGAGATAATCTTCTAACTAACATTGCATAAGATAACAGGGCATAACTGACTCATCTGATTTTGCTTATCCACTTTTGGAATGAGACATATGTTGGTATCATTTAGTCCAGATGGCACCGTTCCCTCAAAAAGGAATTGATTAACCATAAGAGTTAAATCATCCTTTACAATATCCCATAATTTATGGTAAAACAGTGCCGTCATTCCATCTGGTCCTGGAGCTTTCTCTGGGTGCATCACTACAAGAAAACAAGTAGTTAACGACTGCAGAATTGGTCGTTATTCGGTCGGAAATGACGTTTTACGACTGAATAGCGACTACAAAGCATGGTCGCCAATCAACGCGTCGGTAAATATATTAGTCGGAACTTAGTCGCTCAATGACGACTGAGTGACGACTCCCTTACAACTAATGTTTTTAGTCGGCGAATGGTCATTGAATAGTCATAATATATTACAACTACACTCCGACTGGTTCACGTCTAGTGTTCGACGACAAGTAGAAGTCGTTAATCAGTCAGCACATTAGTCACATTGTAGTCACTAATCTGGCGACTCTTTAACGACCACACTGATATATTAGTCGCTATTTAGTCATTAAATAAGGCTACCGATTAGCGACTACATTTTCATGGAGTCGTTATCTAGTCGGCGAATTGGGCGACTATTTGGCGACCACAGAATCGTAATTTTGGCGACTATTTAGCGACCACAAAATCGTAATTTTGGCGACCATTTGGCGACTCAGTTTTTTGTTTCTGTGGATTCACAATTTTTGAATCAGGGTTCTTCAGGTTTGTATAATGAACAAATTGTAAATTAGAAAACACTAATAAATTTTAAAATTCAAAATATATACAAACGCCAAAAGCATCCAAAGAAACAACTAAACAAAAGTCATAAGTTTCATAGAGAAATAAAGTTTCATAGACTAAAGAAACAAACAACAAACCATGATCAGGTAGTGGAATGAGCAGAGATGAACTCATTATATCTTGGATCAGTTGCAGCAAGAAACTTCCCAGTTAAAGAGAGCTCACTGATCTGCTTTGATTGCTCTGCAATAGTAGCTCCCTGCTCTGCAATAGCTGCTCCCTGCTCTGCAATAGTAGCAGCCTGTGCTGCATTAGAGGCAGCATGTGCTGCATTAGCTGCAGCCTGCTCTTCTATTTTGCGGTGAGCTTCTTCAAGCTGCTTCTTCAGGTCAAAGTATGCAGAGGAAGAAAATTCATTGAACTTCCGTTTCCCATTGATGAGCGTTTGCTGGAGGCTTCCAATGCCATAGTGTTCTCCTCTTTCATTAGTGAAAATAGACTACAATAACATATCAAAGTGTTACTACAAAGCATAAGAAAAGAGTATAAGTATGAATAACAAATTAAAAATTAAAAGAAGAACCTTACCAAAAGGAATATATCATTATCCTCCTCTATAGAGAGTTGTGGAGCATTAGAACCATCTGAAATCTCTGAGTTTTCAGCCGCAAAGGGCTGTCAACTTGGAATCTTTGTTCTTCTCATACATCT